TTAAATGTATTGATTGCAAACTCGCTTCAACAAAGGGGACAGTAAATATGTAAACCACCACATGACTGAAAAAAAGGCTTATGAAAAAAACTATTGCATTAGGAACAGAAGGAAAATCATGCTAAACCACAGAGGAATGGCTTTTCCTCAGACGTGAGTCATACCTTTAGAGGGAAAACTGATCAAGGCACTACATCGTCCTGAATTATTCATTTTCATGTAGGGATTTTGTCCTGTGGCCTGAAATAGTTTAAAAATGCTGGATATTTCTGTAAACAGCCAATGAAAGCCACTCAAAAGTGCTGTAAATTTATGAAAAATATTCTAAACAGTATTACTGAAAAGTAGGACTAATATTTCTATAATCAATCATGACAACTTTGAGCATTTGGCCTCTTATAAAACACAAGCAGCATGAATTTCAATTCTTACATCATTGTAAGAATGACTAAATTTATTCTGCTCGTGTTTTGTGAAATATGTCTATAGCTCCAAGAGCCGCCTGCTCATGCTACCGTAGGTTAGTCACTCACAGTATGTTGAATTATGGGGGAAATTATTATAAAATTATACTCTATGGCAGTAGAATTGAAGGCCATGGTCCTGCAGTACTCTCAGTCAACCCCTTTACTAACACACCTCAATACAGATTCAAACATAAGAACTAAAAGGTCTTCAAAAAAAGGGAAAAAAGCGAAAGCAGTGCCCACAGAACTTTTTTGACACAAACACACCCCCTCATGCCCAATTTCACATACACACACCTCATATTTACAGGCTCAAAGGCTTTGCACAGATGTGTCCATAATCCAACAGCGATCCAAAGCACACAGACATTTCAGAGATTGTGGTTTGATCCTGAAGCAGAGTTAAAAACATATTCTAGAGTGTTGCAGAAACTCCCACTGCTCTGCGAATTAGTGGGCAATTAATTTATCCGGGAGAAAATGTCTGTAATCAGCTGTGTTGAGCTTGCATGATTATCCTTCTGCAAGTGTGCATTGATTAGCCGTACTCAAAAAACAGCGTCTGTTGTGGTGTTTGGAGCGCAGGGCGGCACTCTTATGCAGTCCTGGCTTTGCTGGGGCACATCGGGGCGTCTGGGCTTTTCACCACCAGAGGAAAAGTCTGCAGTGCTGGGCTGCCCATGGCTGGGTAAGGGACCATACCGGCCGTAGCAAACATGCCCACTGGACTGGGCAAACCGGACCAATGGTTTGGATACACAGGGGCTGGCATCATACCAGCAAAGGGGGCGGTGGGCATCAAGTATCCGCCCTGCTGGAGGATGGGTGATGTGGTGCTGGTGATGCCATGAGGCATGATGGGACCCAGAGCAGCTGACAGCGGACAGGACAGTGGTAGATGGAACTTTACAGCTGCCTGAGGGATTGAGCCCCTTATCTAGGAATAAAAAGAAAGAGACCGACATGGTAGGAAAAGATGTGAATGAGGCGTGAAGGCAAAGGCTTTTAGCTGCACAAGCACAATGTTGCGTTCCCAAATGTGTCCGAACACAATTAAGACCTAGTATGCGTTCCACTCTCAGCATTGCCACAAGGTAGGGGTGTGCGATATTGACAAAAAGAGATATCTCGATATTTTTCTGGGATTTTATCGATAACAATATTTTGCTGAGTGTGTTATTGCGCTGATATCTTAAGGACTACCGTGGACAACTGACTTCTAAAGTTTTTGATATTCTTTATATTCTGTGTGATGGTGGTAGAAATTAATATTTTTCAATACGTTTTAATTGACTTTTACCTTTTATGAGCATTTTTACCTTCATAAAGCCATTATTTCTAAAAGTGTGCATCATCTTTTGAGTCAAATTCTTACATTTAATCAGTCAATTAGAATAATAAGACATTTGGGCTGTTACCAAGCAAATGAAATCCGTATCAACAAAATTCATCTTTGCAGTCCAGAGGAAACACAGAAGCTGCATCTGAAGTGGCATTTATGCCACACTGTTTAATGTAGGACAAGAATGCTTTAACCTGCAGTTACAAACACATATATAAGGTTTTGATATTTTAAACATAAAATGTTGAATACTGATATTTGAAATTATTGAAAAAATGAAAAGATACTTTAAATGTGAAATTAAAACCAAGAGTAGGTGGCAGCAAATCACTGTTAATATGCGAGTCATTGCGATTGAACTGAATCATTTAAATGATTGATTCATTCAGGAACGAAACACCGTCATGTTGCTCAGAGACGCAAAAACAAAAAAAAAGTGTTGTATTTGGAATTAATTTTGCTGCCGAAATAGAGCAAAAACAGGCAATATGGTAAGTAATGTTTATTAATAATGTTTATTGAACTGTTGTATAAAATCAATATCACATTTGTAATCATGCTGATTTTTGGAGAAAAAAAACAGTACTCTGCATGTGATATTGATTAACTATGTGAAATTATATGAATATGTAAGTTTTCTGCCCCCATATCTTGAATTTTGTGATCATTCAAAATGCATTTGAATAGTCTAACCTACTAGACTTCATCATATAATGTATGTATGCACTCTGTAGGTGTGTTTTGTTTGACTTTTTTGCGATATACTCAATAATGTCAAATCGCACATCATTAAAACCACAATTATTATCGCAGACGATATATATCGCACACCCCTACCACAAGGCCACTGATTTTGCACACCTGGGCTTTACACAATATCTCACTCATATTGTTTAAGTCGGACATAACAATCCCAAAGACATCAAAAATGGTGTACAGTGTACAGCTGGCTTAAGACACTTGTTATTAGTGTTGTCAAAAGTAGCAGTAGTTTAGTACCAAGTTACTTAAATTTTAAAAACGTAACGACACCAGCCAATGACACAGAGTACCGAGTGGATCCGGTACCCAGTGATAGCTTTTAAACATTCCTGTATGTGTGCACACACTCTATGAAGAGTGTTAAATGTTTATTTTGCGGCATTGAGCATTGTAGCCAATCACAGACCTGTTTGAGCGTGCAAATACAAATGGCCAATCAGAGGCTTTTAAGTCAGTATCCACTTAATATTCCAGATATGACAATACAATATTTAGCATGAGCTTTGCACACTCGTGAATCGTTTCACAATGTATAAACAACGTAAATGGTTTCATTGAGATTCATTCGATTTAAAGCTGCACTACAAAACTTTAGCCTCTCTATCACAATCTGTGGTTAAAACATGAAATTGCCTTTTGCCTTTTGAAATCCCTTTTGAATGGGAACTCACACTACATCCCTTTTAGGGGATTGTATGGGAAACACCTCCAGCATGACCAGTGTTTGAAGCATGTGTCAAAACACAACAATGAACATGACATTGGTCGGTGACAGCCTATGATGTCACTACCAGTGTAACCGTCAGTATAAAAGGGCATCTGTAGGACATGCCATCCACTTCTTGTCTGAAGGAGACGAGCATGAATACCTGAAGATGGCAACAGTTACATGCGTAACATGAGACTTTCCCTTTCAAATCTCTTTAGAGGATCGCAATGGGGAACAAATACCCACTCTGAAGGGACAGACTGCCTAAATGGCTGACATTGAAGTCCCAATCCCTAAGGTACACACCAGTGACCAGTGACTTAATTCCTTATGGCCAAAATCCGAGCTACAAACCCTATCAGAGAAAGTCCCAGAATGCACCCTTCCTCTCCTCTTTGCAGTACCAAGTTAAAAAAGAAATTTAGCCCGTGGGCAGAGCTCAAGGGTTCAGCTGTCAGAGAAAACCTTTAAGGCAATATAGTCATTGACTGGAGCTCTGAGAATCCCTCAGCATGACAACTCTCCAAAGGAGGCCTAACTACATTCAACAATCAAGACCGCTTCCAAGGAGGCTCACAGACAGCCTAACAACTTAGAATTGCTACTCAAGCGGAGTTCTGGGGAGCGGCCTGCCTATATCTGTTTGCTGGTGTTGACCACTGCCTGTTTTGACCTTGTCTTTTAATAAAGCTTTGCATATGGATCCGCACGCCTCTCGCCTCAGTCACTCGGTAACAGTAATTCACTGTGTCTTCAGCGCCTCAGATGCTGGGAGTAAATGACGACTGCTATGTTCATTATTACATCCATTACATACATTAAAAAACAAAACACCTCAATCGCTTAGGAGTCATTCTTGTCTACTCCTGCTCCGGCATCAAAACAATGGCGGACTGATGACAGCTCACTCAGGGCGGAGCTGTGATAAAACCAAAGACTGATGCCACTGTCAATCAACAATCGTGGGAGGGGCCTGTGCAGAACTACGTCATTCTGCCAAGAATCTGAGATTGGCTTGATATGAGAAAGGGGTTTGGATTTATCAAGATTTAAAAAAAAAAAGCACTGGGTGGATTTTTATCATTATAGGGTGGATGTGTACACACACTGCCAAGACACATTTCAGTTCAGTGAATTTTGCATTCGATGACCCCTTTAAGAGGGCGAGGAGAATGCATTGCTGCAATAATCACGCAGTATCACGATGAAAATGCAATCCCAAGTGTCCTACCCGTAAGTCTAAATGCATTTAGGAAAAATGGCATTTAAATGATATTTTTGTTTGGACATGTTAAACATCTAATCAATTTGGGTAATACATCTTTATTTTAATTTTGCAACTTATAAAGCGTTAAAATGTTTTTAATTTACATATTAAAACTAGTTTAGGAAATGGCAAATGTAAATTATATAATTGAATTTTAATTTTCGTTTTGAACTAAACGTTGCACATATGTATGGGAAAATGTAAATTTAAATAAAGAAATGCATTGCCATTTTACATATTGCATTGCCATTTTGCAAATTACATTTCAAAATGAATTTTGCTACCCATCTGCTTCCATACTGTTGGAATGGGACAGCACTTTTTTTTTGCTACCTGTACCTGAAGAGCTCTGCTCAGAATATCACTGGCCATGCCTAGGAAAATAACAAGAACACAGTATTTATTAAGCACAAAATATTTATTTATTCTTTAATTAAACTTGGACACAGTCTTTGTGTTGTGAGTGCATTTTGTATCTGAGCGGAGTAAAGTAATTCATTGAAGGGTGTGCATCATAAGCAACCATTCACAGAGCGCCAATGCAGGAAAAAAAAAAAGAAAAAGTCCACAACCTATTAAACGCCACATCAGATTGATCAGTAAGTCACTAACATGGCAAAGTAAAGTAATTATTGACAGAGATTTTAGCATTACACAGCAAAAACAGAATATCAGAAACCCCTTCCTACTGGAAACATTTCACATGAAGCAGATCATTCTGACTGATTGAACATCCTGTACAAATGAATGGATGGAATGACACATTAAAGGACAGAAGATGCATCAAAAGCACTGATAAAATAAATACAAGAGGACTGTACAATTCACAGTTTGGCAGTCGTGTGGGTCGCAGCCTTTTACAAAGATACTGTTGAAAATGAGGTTTAAAAAAACTCAAAGTCTGATGAAGAATATGGAAGAATTCAGAAAGAAAACAGCCTGCTGGCTCTATCAGAAATGTGACTAAATTACACAACAAAATAAGATGACATCTTAGAAACATAACAAATAAAACTGTATAAACTGGGATGTGGGTTTTGGAAACAGATACATTTTGTATATGTGTATCTGTGTGAGCTAATATTCAATTGCTTGCATTTTCTCCCATATTGGATCACTTTTATGAAACAACAATTGAACTGCCCTACTAAAAGAAATTAAAATATTATCTCAACATCACCGACACTGTGAAAGAGCTCATAACAGAGCAAATGGAGAAAACAAACGAACACAAAAAATCTTCAGCCGTTATTCAAAGCAAATAAAAAACATAGAGTTGATAAAATAGTAACATAACTTGTGTGTATGAATGCAAAGTAGATCTGCTCTGTGCCAAGTCTGGCTAGCTTTTACATTATAGGTGGGGTTTATGGTGCACATAACAGAGGGATTGATTCACATGCATGTAATGTCAATGTGCTGCTCCAGCATTTGACATGCTACATTCGGGGTTCACACAACACTGATTCCAAAGTCAAACCTGCATTCAGTCCCTGTGTTACACTCTAAAGAGGGAAGGTGGCGCACTTTGGGTTTCTGCAAGACCACAAGCACATACAATGCTCCTTGATATATTTAGATAGCAATTCTTAATTTTGTATTTTGGTATCTGCGACACTTTGATGGCATGCATTAATACATTACATCATCGCAATGTAAACAATTTGTTCACTTCCTCTGTGCTTAGTACAGTATGGTAGTGCAGTATTGCTTATGAATGCAGTACAACGATCAGAAACCCAAGCATCAACAGCTGGAACTGCACTCATTTATCAATCTGCACAGACTAGCTCCTATTTAAACTTAAAATTATGTTAAATGTATTGATTGCAAACTCGCTTCAACAAAGGGGACAGTAAATATGTAAACCACCACATGACTGAAAAAAAGGCTTATGAAAAAAACTATTGCATTAGGAACAGAAGGAAAATCATGCTAAACCACAGAGGAATGGCTTTTCCTCAGACGTGAGTCATACCTTTAGAGGGAAAACTGATCAAGGCACTACATCGTCCTGAATTATTCATTTTCATGTAGGGATTTTGTCCTGTGGCCTGAAATAGTTTAAAAATGCTGGATATTTCTGTAAACAGCCAATGAAAGCCACTCAAAAGTGCTGTAAATTTATGAAAAATATTCTAAACAGTATTACTGAAAAGTAGGACTAATATTTCTATAATCAATCATGACAACTTTGAGCATTTGGCCTCTTATAAAACACAAGCAGCATGAATTTCAATTCTTACATCATTGTAAGAATGACTAAATTTATTCTGCTCGTGTTTTGTGAAATATGTCTATAGCTCCAAGAGCCGCCTGCTCATGCTACCGTAGGTTAGTCACTCACAGTATGTTGAATTATGGGGGAAATTATTATAAAATTATACTCTATGGCAGTAGAATTGAAGGCCATGGTCCTGCAGTACTCTCAGTCAACCCCTTTACTAACACACCTCAATACAGATTCAAACATAAGAACTAAAAGGTCTTCAAAAAAAGGGAAAAAAGCGAAAGCAGTGCCCACAGAACTTTTTTGACACAAACACACCCCCTCATGCCCAATTTCACATACACACACCTCATATTTACAGGCTCAAAGGCTTTGCACAGATGTGTCCATAATCCAACAGCGATCCAAAGCACACAGACATTTCAGAGATTGTGGTTTGATCCTGAAGCAGAGTTAAAAACATATTCTAGAGTGTTGCAGAAACTCCCACTGCTCTGCGAATTAGTGGGCAATTAATTTATCCGGGAGAAAATGTCTGTAATCAGCTGTGTTGAGCTTGCATGATTATCCTTCTGCAAGTGTGCATTGATTAGCCGTACTCAAAAAACAGCGTCTGTTGTGGTGTTTGGAGCGCAGGGCGGCACTCTTATGCAGTCCTGGCTTTGCTGGGGCACATCGGGGCGTCTGGGCTTTTCACCACCAGAGGAAAAGTCTGCAGTGCTGGGCTGCCCATGGCTGGGTAAGGGACCATACCGGCCGTAGCAAACATGCCCACTGGACTGGGCAAACCGGACCAATGGTTTGGATACACAGGGGCTGGCATCATACCAGCAAAGGGGGCGGTGGGCATCAAGTATCCGCCCTGCTGGAGGATGGGTGATGTGGTGCTGGTGATGCCATGAGGCATGATGGGACCCAGAGCAGCTGACAGCGGACAGGACAGTGGTAGATGGAACTTTACAGCTGCCTGAGGGATTGAGCCCCTTATCTAGGAATAAAAAGAAAGAGACCGACATGGTAGGAAAAGATGTGAATGAGGCGTGAAGGCAAAGGCTTTTAGCTGCACAAGCACAATGTTGCGTTCCCAAATGTGTCCGAACACAATTAAGACCTAGTATGCGTTCCACTCTCAGCATTGCCACAAGGTAGGGGTGTGCGATATTGACAAAAAGAGATATCTCGATATTTTTCTGGGATTTTATCGATAACAATATTTTGCTGAGTGTGTTATTGCGCTGATATCTTAAGGACTACCGTGGACAACTGACTTCTAAAGTTTTTGATATTCTTTATATTCTGTGTGATGGTGGTAGAAATTAATATTTTTCAATACGTTTTAATTGACTTTTACCTTTTATGAGCATTTTTACCTTCATAAAGCCATTATTTCTAAAAGTGTGCATCATCTTTTGAGTCAAATTCTTACATTTAATCAGTCAATTAGAATAATAAGACATTTGGGCTGTTACCAAGCAAATGAAATCCGTATCAACAAAATTCATCTTTGCAGTCCAGAGGAAACACAGAAGCTGCATCTGAAGTGGCATTTATGCCACACTGTTTAATGTAGGACAAGAATGCTTTAACCTGCAGTTACAAACACATATATAAGGTTTTGATATTTTAAACATAAAATGTTGAATACTGATATTTGAAATTATTGAAAAAATGAAAAGATACTTTAAATGTGAAATTAAAACCTGGAATTAATTTTGCTGCCGAAATAGAGCAAAAACAGGCAATATGGTAAGTAATGTTTATTAATAATGTTTATTGAACTGTTGTATAAAATCAATATCACATTTGTAATCATGCTGATTTTTGGAGAAAAAAAACAGTACTCTGCATGTGATATTGATTAACTATGTGAAATTATATGAATATGTAAGTTTTCTGCCCCCATATCTTGAATTTTGTGATCATTCAAAATGCATTTGAATAGTCTAACCTACTAGACTTCATCATATAATGTATGTATGCACTCTGTAGGTGTGTTTTGTTTGACTTTTTTGCGATATACTCAATAATGTCAAATCGCACATCATTAAAACCACAATTATTATCGCAGACGATATATATCGCACACCCCTACCACAAGGCCACTGATTTCACTGATTTTGGCTTTACACAATATCTCACTCATATTGTTTAAGTCGGACATAACAATCCCAAAGACATCAAAGACATCAAACAGTGTACAGCTGGCTTAAGACACTTGTTATTAGTGTTGTCAAAAGTAGCAGTAGTTTAGTACCAAGTTACTTAAATTTTAAAAACGTAACGACACCAGCCAATGACACAGAGTACCGAGTGGATCCGGTACCCAGTGATAGCTTTTAAACATTCCTGTATGTGTGCACACACTCTATGAAGAGTGTTAAATGTTTATTTTGCGGCATTGAGCATTGTAGCCAATCACAGACCTGTTTGAGCGTGCAAATACAAATGGCCAATCAGAGGCTTTTAAGTCAGTATCCACTTAATATTCCAGATATGACAATACAATATTTAGCATGAGCTTGGCACACTCGTGAATCGTTTCACAATGTATAAACAACGTAAATGGTTTCATTGAGATTCATTCGATTTAAAGCTGCACTACAAAACTTTAGCCTCTCTATCACAATCTGTGGTTAAAACATGAAATTGCCTTTTGCCTTTTGAAATCCCTTTTGAATGGGAACTCACACTACATCCCTTTTAGGGGATTGTATGGGAAACACCTCCAGCATGACCAGTGTTTGAAGCATGTGTCAAAACACAACAATGAACATGACATTGGTCGGTGACAGCCTATGATGTCACTACCAGTGTAACCGTCAGTATAAAAGGGCATCTGTAGGACATGCCATCCACTTCTTGTCTGAAGGAGACGAGCATGAATACCTGAAGATGGCAACAGTTACATGCGTAACATGAGACTTTCCCTTTCAAATCTCTTTAGAGGATCGCAATGGGGAACAAATACCCACTCTGAAGGGACAGACTGCCTAAATGGCTGACATTGAAGTCCCAATCCCTAAGGTACACACCAGTGACCAGTGACTTAATTCCTTATGGCCAAAATCCGAGCTACAAACCCTATCAGAGAAAGTCCCAGAATGCACCCTTCCTCTCCTCTTTGCAGTACCAAGTTAAAAAAGAAATTTAGCCCGTGGGCAGAGCTCAAGGGTTCAGCTGTCAGAGAAAACCTTTAAGGCAATATAGTCATTGACTGGAGCTCTGAGAATCCCTCAGCATGACAACTCTCCAAAGGAGGCCTAACTACATTCAACAATCAAGACCGCTTCCAAGGAGGCTCACAGACAGCCTAACAACTTAGAATTGCTACTCAAGCGGAGTTCTGGGGAGCGGAGGCCAAAAAGGATGACTCTCTACAGCGAGAAGAGATCTAAGAAGAGCAGCGCTCTTTGAATTAAAGACAGTAACCAAGGAGGCTCACCAGTAGCCTAACACTACTCCCTAAATAAGCTCTAAGGACCGAGGCCTCAACATAAAGATTATCTAAAGCAAGAGGAGGTCCACATTTGCCCTACACTAAGAATAGCTATCAAGGAGGCTCACAGAGAGCCTAACAACTTGATACTGCTGTCCAGGTGGAGCTTTGAGGAGTGACCTCAGCCAAAAGACTCTCTAAGCAAAGCCTAACTAACAACTCTCCTCTCCCAAGTAGACTTGTGCCGGTATTCGGTAATGCGCTATATCACGGTAATGAATATGCACGATATTGTTATCGTGGGCTCTTCTAAATACCGTGAGTAATTATATATTACAAGTTATTCAGAATTTTGAATGCATTTTAAGAATACTTTTCCCATCAACTGGTTAAAATGCACAACACCGCTGTATGCTGCGTGAAAGACACGTGCACACTGATGTAAATAAGCGCGGACGAGAAGCACATGGCAGAACATGTGAGAGACGCTCTGGATGAAAGCGCACTTTCACTCTCTGACAGCAGATGGCGCTAAACTGCAGAAATAATAATAATAATAATAATTAATTTAAATGCAGTCTTAAACCCTGTAAACAAAGCAGCTGTTCTACTTTCTGTTTCTGAATCGTGTTTAAATGATTTAAACAGCCATTCAGATTTGTGTATTTGCTATGATGTTCATCACAGCGCCAAATACTTAAATATTTA